GATGATTCTTGTCAAACTGTTTTTGATGCATTGAAAACTAAGTTAACTTCTGCACCAGTTCTAGCCACGCTTCATAGTGGAATTAAGTATTTAGTATATACCGACGCTTCTTTGCAAGGTTTGGGTTATATTTTGATGTAAGAGGAACGACCAGTATCATATGGGTCCCGTAAACTTAAGCCGCATGAGCTTAATTGTCCTACTCATGATCTGGAGTTAGCAGCAGTTGTCCTTGTTTTACGTATTTGGAGGCATTATCTTTTAGGGGAGTACTTTCGATTATTTAGTAACCATAAGAGCCTACAGTATCTATTCATGCAAAAGGAACTGAATATGAGACAACACAGATGGCTAGAATTTGTGAAAGATTATCACTTCTTCATTTAATATCATCCAAGGAAAGCGAATGTAGTGGCAGACACACTCAGTCGTCGACCCTACGTTAGTCTTTCAGTATTATTTGCCACAGAATGGAATGCTTTGCGGACAATCGATGAATTATCAGATGCTTTTGTGGCATGTGTTGTAGTGACCCCTGCTATCATCAACAAAGTGATTGATGCTCAGCTCGCAGACCGACAATGCATTAATAGAGTTGCAGAGTTAAATTTAGGTGAGGTTTCATTTTATTCCGTAGGCTCAGATAAGGTTTTGAGGTACAAAGGACGTTTAATAGTTCCTCCTATTGATGATTTGAGGAAGATGGTGATGACGAAGGCGCACAGTTCTCAGTTTTCTGTGCACCCAGGTGGGGACAAGATGTACCAGGACATGAAACGTCAGTTTTGGTGGGCAGGTATGAAGAGGGACATAGCAATTTTTGTTTCTAAGTGCAATACTTGTCAGATGGTGAAGATTGATCATCAAATACCGCCAGGATCTCTACAGCCACTTCCCATACCTGAGTGGAAATGGGAAAGTATTTCCATAGACTTCATTGAGGGATTGCCTACTTCACACCGGAATCACAATTCTATTTGGGTCATTGTTGACAGATTGACCAAGTCAGCTCACTTTCTGCCAGTTCGGACCGATTTCATTTCAGAGTAGTATGCTAGACTTTATATAGCAGAGATAGTGAAGCTGCATGGTATACCATTATCCATTATATCAGATAGAGATCCAAATTTTGTATCGGGATTCTGGAAAGCTTTCAGCAGGCTTTAGGTACAGAGTTACATCTCAGTACAGCCTATCATCCTCAGATCGATGGACAAACTGAAAGGGTGAATTAGATTCTGGAGGATATGCTCAGGGCTTGTGTTCTTGACTTTAAGGTCAATTGGGAATATTATTTACCATTATCTGAGTTCGCATACAACAATAGTTATTAGAAAACTATTGGCATGGCACCATTTGAGGCTTTGTATGGTCGATCGTGTAGATCTTCTATTTGTTGGCTAGAGGTTGGTGAGAGCAGATTTCTGGGTCCTAAATTCATTAAGGACACGTAAGAAAAGATTGCTCTTATTAGAGATCGTATGCATACAGCTCAGAGTAGACAAAAAAGCTATGCAGATTGTCAAACTCGTGCATTAGAGTTCAAGGTTGGAGATCAGGTTTTACTGAAGGTGTCTCCTATAAAGGGAGTAATACGTTTTGGACGGAAAGGGAAGTTATCTCCTCGTTTTGTGGGTCCTTTCATGATCACAGATCGAGTTGGAGTAGTAGCGTACCGGTTGGCGCTACCAGACAATCTACATAGGGTGCACAATGTATTCCATGTTTTCATGTTACAGAAATTTCTCCGCGACGAGGATGGTTATCAGCACATAGATCTGGGTGAGATTGAGTTGTAGCCCGATGCGACGTATGTGGAGCAACCTTATTGTATTCTGGATCGTAGGGATCAGGTGCTACGCACGAAGACTATTCCTCTTGTACGTGTCCAGTGGAGTCATCATAATGAGGCAGAATCCACTTGGGAATGGGAAGATGAAATTCATATAAAGTACCTAGAACTATTTAGTTCAGGTATGTGATGAATTCCGGGAACGGAATTCCTTTGTTAGAAGGGGGGGGGGGGGATAATGTAATACCCCGTAATTTGAAGGAAATTATTACATGAGTTTTATTTGATTAAATTGGATTAAATTAAATTATCAATATATATTTTTTTATTTTTATTTTTATTATTTTGTGCTTTTAATTATTTAATGTTAGTTAGTTATTTATGTGTATTTAAATTATTTAATGTTAAGAATTATTTATTTGATTTTTTTTAGAACTTGAAGTTAGTATTTACTGGTGGCAGGGGCGGAGGGAGAGGGGGGCCAGCAGGGGCCATGGCCCCCCCCCCCCCCCCTAAAAAAAAAATTTTATTAGTATATATATATAAAAATATATATATATTAGTTTATTAGTGTACGGCCCCCCCAATTCATTCAGCAATTAGCATATTAGGGCACACCGCACATGCCGATGAGAGGGAACGCCAATAAACTAACTTCTATATCTAGATGCCTGACAACTCTAAGCGAATGGAATTGATGGTGAGAAGAACCTGTGATCCCAAGGACGGCCAGAGAGGATTTTGACAACGACGCAGCAGGGAGTAGCGTGACTGACCTGAGAGCTGCGACCCACGAGCAAGGATTTACGATTCAGCTAAGGCGCCAACAATCAGTGATGCGCGACGAAATAGTGTTGATGGTGACCCAATTCCGGCGAAGTTGAAGGCATGGTGGTGGCGAAGAGCTATTCCACATTCTGACATTCGGTAACCCTTCTCAATTCTCTCTCTCTTACCCATTAATTTAATTTCCCCTTTTCCATTATCATGTATGTATATTTGCTTGTTTAGTTTATTCTATGCTATATCTATTCTATAGCCCTGCTCTTTTCAGTTTTCTTTTTGCATAGAATCATAGAGATTAGAGTATATATAATATATCTATAGACTATAGCCCTGTTCTTTTTAGTTTACTTTTTCGTAGTTGGAATATCAATTATTTTTTTATTAATTTATTCTTGTGTTAGACGCATATATCTATGTACAATGTTATGTGTGATTGAAATTTTAATTGTAACCAAAATGAATTTCTTCTCTAAACCTGACTCAATGAAATTTTAATACATAATTTATTTTGTATACTCTGCATAGGCACAATTTATTTTTTATACACTGCACAGGCGCACAATTGTGAGTGATAACTTTTTTATATTTTAAATTAATTGTTTTGTATGCAATGAGGGTGTAATATTATTTTTACTCAATTATGCTTATTAGAATTTAGGATCGATAGATTAAATTACAATGTAAAACCCTAGGTTTTAAAAGTTTATATTTGAATTACCTTCTTTAGGTACAGTGTTATACGATGGTGAAGCCAAAAAGAACTATTGACTCTTTTTTAAAAAAAAATGATGTGCCTTCCGCGGCTTCCGCCTCTAATGTTGATGTTTCGGTTCATGATAACCAGTGTCCTCCAAAATCTCCAAGAGTTGAACATACAAAAGTTAATCCTACCTTTTTTGAACGTGATCCAGGATTACGTCGTCAAATATGGGATTATCCTGTTGACAAACGTGATGAAGTTCGACGAGCTTACATCAAAGCGAAAGCATACCAAATTCCACTTTCAGAATATCCGCTTTCTGGATCGAAAAAGCATCTTCATCGGTTTCAATCATCTTAGTTTAAATTATTCCTTACCTAGTTAGAGTATTCTCCTTCAAAGGATGCTGCATTTTACTTACCTTGCTTTCTTTTTGGAGTGAAACCAACAGGGTGTCCCGGAACCAATGCATTCACTAGTGAAGGATTTCGAAGTTGGAAGAAAGTTAATTATGGCAATAAGTGTGCTTTCTTAAATCATATGGGAGGAAGTCCATGTTCTGCTCATAACATTGCTGAGAGAGCATGTAAGGACTTAATGAATCAACCTTGTCATATTGATATAGTGATGGATAGACAAACTTCCGAACAAATTTCAAATAACTGATTGAGATTGAAGGTCACAATTGATGCGGTCCAATGGCTTACTTATCAAGCTTGTGCTTTTAGAGGGCATGATGAATCCCTACAATCAAGTGATCGAGGTAATTTCATTGAAATGGTAAAGGCTTTTGCGTCATATAATGATGATGTAGCTAAAATTGTTCTTGAAAATGCTCCAAAGAATGCCAAGTATATCTCACCATAAATTCAAAAGGAGATTTTGCATATTCTTTCTACAAAAGTGAGAAATAAGATTCGTGAAGATATCGGCGATGCCAAGTTTTATATTCTTGTTGATGAAGCTCGTGATAAATCTAAAAAAGAGCAAATGGCTTTCGTTTTAAGATACGTTGATAAGGATGGTTTTTTACAAGAACATTTCTTTAATCTTGTGCATGTCTAAGATACAACTTCATTGAATTTAAAAAAGGATCTTTGTGCGGTTCTTTCTCACTATAATCTTGATGTTCACAATCTCTGAGTTCAATGTTATGATGGTGCTAGCAATATGCGTGGTGAATGGAATGGTTTGCAAGCATTATTTCTTAATGATTGTCCTTATGCATATTATGTGCATTACTTAGCTCACCGACTACAACTAGTATTAGTTGCCGCATCTAGAGAAGTAATTGTCGTCCATCAATTCTTTTCAAATTTGAACTTCATTATCAATAGTATCGGAACTTCTTGTAAACGAATTGATGAATTACATTCTGCTCAAGTTATGGAAATTGCCCATTTGATAGATCTTGATGAACTTGAAACCGGCCGAGGAGCTAATCAGATTGGTACCTTGCAATGACTTGGAGATACTCGTTAGAGCTCCCATTTTGAATTTGTTTGTAGTTTCATAAGGTTAGTTAGTCCAACATGTTCAGTTCTTGAAAACATCATTGAAGATGGAAGTAATTACAAGAGCCGGGGAGATGCTGATACTGCTTTTAATACTCTTAGATCATTTCAGTTTATGTTTATTTTGCATCTGATAAAAGATATCATGGGAATAACTAATATCCTTTGTCAAGCTTTGTAACAAAAATCTCAAGACATCGTAAATGCTATGCAATTGGTTTCGAGTACAAAACAAATCAATTTGAAATTGAGAGAAAATGGTTGGAACAACTTACTTGATATTGTTAAATCATTTTATGAGCGCCACAACATTGATGTGCCTGATTTGAGTGTTCCTTATACGAAAAAAATTAAGGGCCAGTCACGTTACCTACAAGAGAATATTACACTTGAGCACCACTATCGGATTGATATATTTTATGGTACAATTGATTCGCAATTGCAGGAGTTGAATAACAGGTTTAGTGAAAAGGCAATGAAACTTGTTATTCTCAGCTCAGCTTTGGATCCTAGAGATGGTTACAAGTTGTTTAACGTTGAAGACATTTGTACGCTTGTAGATGAATTTTATCCTCAAGATTTCACAGACCAAGAGAGGATTATTTTGACATTCCAATTGCAACGTTATAAGGTTGAAGTGCTTGCTCATTCACATTTGAAAAATATGTCGACAATTTCTGAGCTATATAGAGGATTAGTGGAAACAGAGAAGTTAAAAATCTACTTTTTGATTGATAGGTTGATTCGTCTTGTCTTGACTCTTCCCGTTTCCACGGCAACTACAGAAAGGGCATTTTCAACTATGAAACTTGTCAAAACACAACTACGCAACAGGATGGAGGATGAGTTTCTTGCAGATTACTTGAGCGTTAGTATTGAAAAAGAAATTACTCAGACTTTTAGAACAGATTCAATTATAGATGATTTTTCTTCTCTAAAAGATCGTTGAGCTCAGCTTTTGTAGTAGTTGTTTGGGTTTTTTTTTTTTTTTTTTTTTTTTTTTTTTTTTTTTTTTTTTTGTATATATATCTATGTCATATTTGACTAGATATAGGCCAATTATTATTTTGTAAATAAATTAGCCAGATTTTGGTTAGATATATTTTTGTATGCATCTAATCGATCATGAAGTACTTTTCACTTAAAATATTATTATATTATATTGGTAAAATTGTTAATACTATGGCCCCCCCTTATATTGAATCCTGGCTCTGCCCCTGACTGGTGGGTTGGGAACTACATTTAATAGTTTGATTTTAGTAAGTTTCGTATCTTTAAAGGGGATTGTGTAGCACTAGGTATTGTCAGCAAAAAATAATAATAATAATAATAAACAAAATAGCTTTTGAATTGCTTTTGACTATCTTATGTTGGGGTTGGTAAAATAGAAGACAAATGGGCTGATATCTGCTCCAATAGTTAATGGATGGAGGACTTTCGTGTGTTGTACATAGCCTATTTCAAAGACTTCATGAGAAAGACTCCAAAGAATTTATTAGAGAGAGAATGAATATTTATGAAGAGAGAAAGAGAGAGAGAGAGTTGGTATATATATATATACTATGCTTACCTTGGTCTGGAGAGTGAGGAAGGAGAGAACCAGAGAGGACCGTAGGATTTAGAGAAGAAGTTTTGAGGAAAAGGCTGGAGGAGACTTACAGATTGATTTCAATACGAAAATCAAAGGCAAGTCCAAGCTCTTCTCTTCCCCTTTGAATTTATAAAGTTTTCACCTCTATGCTTATGCAATTTTATGATCAAGAATCATGCTAGTTTAGGTGATTAATTATATATTTATTTTTATGATGAATTTTAGAATAAAAATGAGTTTGAGGTGTTTTAGAATTTTTATGGGACCAATTGTTGCATTTATGACTTTAAAATGGTTAAACAAGGCTTCTATAATTTTTAGGAATTTTATAGATTTTTCTGGAATTTGTTTTTAGATTTTTTTTTTTTGTATTTTTCGTCCATTTTATGCATTCTGCAACTTCCGGCGAAGTTTTCCGGCCACCGGCGACGACAATTGATAGAGAAGAAGGGTTTGTGATCCAGTGTGATGCGGCTACATGAAACACCATGCGCGCACGGATCTGGACCATCAATCCTGATGATATATAAAGCTTCGATAAGGTGCGGCATATGCGCATGAATGCACTCATGCAGTCGTGAGAAATGATATGGTATGGCGTGCACCATCAAGAGTTGATGTGGTAGCGAATTAGAATGCGCCATGTGTCAGGAGCTTAGCTTTTGATCCGGTGTGGGCGCGCTCACAGTAGTGTTTGAGCTCAACCTATTATTTTGCCTGTTTTGTGACACGAAATTGAAACGATCATAACTTAGTCGTTTTAACTCCAAATTGGGTCATTCTTGAGTTGAAATTTAAGGATTTTCGTTAGCTTTCCAATGGTACCAATTTCATTTTCAGATTCCTATCCTACTAGGAGTTATTTCTATTTTAGTGAGATAGCGTCGTGAAAATTAGTTAAACCGAGATGAATTATTTATGGAAAATATTTTATTATGCTAATGTTGGTATTTAAAATTAATTGGGTGATGTTTTGCTTGGTAACTACTGTTAAGTGTTAAGTAGTTTTATGATATTTGTAATTATTATTTAGTCATAAATGTATTTAATCACTATGAGTATTCGGATATTCTCATAATGGACTATTTTTAAAATTGTAATTTATTTTATGAAACTAATCATGCCATAGTTGTTATTAAAATATAACGAAAGTTATTTGAAATTTAATTAGCTTATAAGCCATTGATGATATTAATCATTAACATGTTTTATAATGTGTGCATCTTATGGAAATTATTATGTCATTTAAATTGCAATCATTATTACTTTTATACGCCTGTGTGGAACCACGTGAGCTAGCTAATGAGTTTAGACTCACTTTACTGGGACAGATTTTATGGTTGTTGGGTATGTGGTTGGTTATTTATATGCATGTATGGAACCATGAGAGCTGGCTAATAAGTTTAGACTCACTTTACCGGGACAGATTTTATGGCTGTTGGGTATGTGGTTGATTATTATTGAGTTTCTTGTTATTGTGTTTTTACACTTATCATTTGTAGAATTCATTGCACATTTTTTTATTGCATATCAGCCCGAATGATATGGGATGCGCTATGTGGATGCGCAGGTTGGTGGCAAAGCTGTGCAAGCATTGGTAGACACGGGTGCCACACACAACTTCATTACCCCGAATGATACGCAACGACTAGGCTTGGAGATGCGCAAGACGGAGGGTTAGATTAAGACCGTCAACTCTGAGGAGGCACGCATGAGCAGAGTATGCAAGGAGGTGAAGCTATGCATGCAAGGGTGGAAGGGCAAGACCAACTTCCTGGTTGCGGAGATGGACGACCACGATATGGTGTTGGGCTGGAGTTCATGGACAGAAACAATGTCGCGCCACTACCATGCCTTGGTGCGTTGATGATACTTGGAGGCGAAGAAGGCAAGGCCGCATGCATGGTGACACTCGTGGGCAGGAAGGAGAGTCCAGAGGTGGTAGTCAATACAATGGAGTTCGTGAGGACCTCACACCTCCCTAATGGCGCGCGCACGTTTGGGCCAAGGACATATGTACAAATACTGATGACCTGCAAGAGGCTGGGTTAGCTGAAGAAACCGTGATGGGCCTCACGGAAATGGGTGGGGGAGAATGTCCCACCATACCTATAGAGGTTAGGCCATGCAGACGATACGCAGGCGCTGAGTAAGACGCTGCATGGCAATTGCATGGCGAGAAGAGTTTCTAGAGTCTTTCAGAATTATTTGGAGTTTTGTTAAAGATTCTAGATATATGTAGAATATTATAGAAGTGTGTGGAAGCTTTTAAAGTTCTCCAGAGTTGTGTAGAGTAGTATGGAGAGTTCTAGAATGTTATAGATACTTGTAAATATATATGGAAGTGTGAAGAAAGTGGGAGAAGATTCTAGAGAATCGATCTCCACTGTCGGTTAGAATGCATCTTAACTGTCCATTAGGGATTGGGATGCCTATAAATAGAAGTAGGACATCATTTTGTAGCCATCAAGTCCTAAAGTGAGTCCTGAGAGCTTTGTAGAGAGTTTGAGAGCTAGCCTTGTGCACAACATTCTTTGTAGTAATAGAAGTATTTTTTCCTTTCTAACTTAAATGCCTTAGTGTATGTGAGTATGCAAGCTAAGTGAGGAGAAGGCGAGGGCCACCACAACACTAGTAAGCGCACGAGGGGAATGTGTTGGCTAAGGTGGGCATGAGAGTTAGGCTGACCAAATACTTACGAGAGTAGAAACAACGTCTTGGTGCCAACGGGAGTAGCTAAAGTGGCGTTGAAACTCTAAACCCATGACAGTGCGCTTACTCTAAACCCGTATTTTTTTTAAAGAGTTTATTTAAATTAATTTTTTATTAGGTTAATTATTTAATGTGTAGATTTATTCATTTTTTAATTGTGTATGCTAAATTATTAAATTAATTTTTATTTATTTGTGCATGTAATATTGATTGTATGTTCTATATAAATTATAATGTTAGTTTATATATTTTATTGGTTATGTTTTATATTAATTAATATTAGTTAATTAAAGTATTACATTTGTATTAGTTAATTCAAGTATTACATTTGTATTAGTTAATTAAAGTATTACATTTGTATTATAGTATAATAATAATAATAATATGTCATGATGTAAATTGGATATTATGGTGGAATTTTATGCCAATTATTTGACTTAGATTGCATGGTTTAAAGTAATATAAGTGGAAAGGTTTTGATAATTATGATAAATTAGATATTTGTAATATTTATATTATATAAGTTAGTATATATATATATATGTGTTAGTTAACTTATCAAATGAAGGGGATTCACGTTAGTAGGATAGGAAACAAAAAGATAACAGTGAACAATTTTATAAGAGTGAAAGGAAAAGGGAGAGAGAAGGAAGCTTGGACCGGTGTAGGTGATTTTACCCGACTACGCGCAACCAGCGGATTTGTTTCAAATCCATAAGGCAAGTTATTATCTACTTTTCCCCTTTGAATCCATAAAATAATTATTTAATTTATTTAGGTTATTTTGGAGCATCAAAACCATGCTAGGAATTTTAATAAATTAATTGTTAGTTTATTAAAATAAAGAAATTTTTAATTATTAAAGGTGGTAAATATTTATTTATTGGCCTATGTAATTAAATTATAGCTGAAAATAATTATTTAAGGCTTTAGGGATTTTTTTAGAATTTTCTGGAATTTTTCGGGATTTTTCTGTAATTTCTGGCGAGGTTTCCGGCCACCGGCAGTGAGGAAGGTGACCGGAGTGATTTGGTGTGATGCGGTGCACTGAAGGATGGTGTGCGCGTGCATCCTAGCCATTAGGAGTTTCAGATTAATCCGGCACTTCGTAGTCCATGTTACTTCAGTGTATCCGGATTAGTAACCATTGGATGAGATGATAATTAGTAGATTAATCCAGTGCAGCACGCCCACGGAGATTTGATGCAACCAACGAACCAGGAAGCGCCACGTCAGTAGGATGCATCAACGCGCGCGTGGCTGATGCCAGACGTGCGTGGGGACGCGTGTAAGCGCATGCGCGTGTGAGGAAGGTGGCGGCGCGTGTAGGAAGCTCTAGGAGGCGCGTGAGGGAGCGTGTAGGACCCCTACAGCTACTGGAAAAGTCCAGAATACCCCTAGGGACTGTTTTGTAATTTTCAGAGCCTTCAACTTGCATTTTTGGGCCTAGGTTGGTAATTACGGGTTTAACGGGACATTAAATTATTATTTTTATTACCCGTTAATTATTATTATGTCCGATTAATATTTCTAGACATTAATGGTATCGTTTACAGTACGGATCGCTATTAACAGATGTAATTAATTTAATGACATATTAAAATATTAATTGTGTTATTATTTTATATGGTATTAATCATTAATGT